CAAAACATTTTTGAATCATGGTACCTAAAATCCACTACCTTAAAAGACTGGATAAAAAACCTGGCAGCCGTTACTCCTGTGGAATTGAAATTTCTATGATCCTCAGACCAGTTTTATTCACAAACCTGTGTCCTTTGCAGTGATCCCATGGTCACATGGTCACAATTTCTGATGCTCTCACAAGCAGAGTCAGTGGGGAAGCCAGCAGGAAGTTGGAAGTCATTCCCACATCCTTTTTGCCATTCTGATTAATCTGATTATTTAGTCATTTTGATTAATCATAGCTAAGTAAATATTAGTTTATTATTGAAGTCCATTTACCACTACCAATATTTTTTATTTATTTAGGATATGTACTATTCTTAGACTGTGATGGGACCATCTAGCATTGGGTAAGAAAAAAAATGTGATCAGCCTAACATTTATTTTGATCACCTCAGACTGCACTAACTTTCGCTCTTTAATTCAAATTTGAAATGGAGATCCAGAACATTTTCTATTATGGCTAGAGGGCTTACCTGCAGTTCTTACCTCTATTAGGGCAAAAAAAAATTGAGTCCCCCTCATACTGAACACTCGTAATGTCCATTCTATATTTCAGAAAATCAACAACCTCCTCAATGGTTTGATAAGTTTCTGCATTTGCTTGCCTCACTAGAATAACTATCTTTATTTCTGTCACTTGGATTGCTTGAATTATTTTATTTGAGCATTCCTCTAAAATGCTTCTCATAAAGTAGAGCTAGTGTGGCTGCCACCTTTGTTCTGGTTGTGAACAGATGTTCATCTTGTTTATTCTGAAATGCAATAAAGCCAAGCACAGTTTTATAATATTTGACTTCCTCTTGTGGTCAAAGAGCAGATCACTTGCAGGTCTGAAGTTGTATCTTAGCAACAATTGGAAGCTTTCATTCTCCCACAACAAGCACCTCAGAGTTATCGCATTATCAAACGAACATGGCTGATTTGTAGAACAAGGCCAAATTTTATGCCATANTCCCTGCAACCAGCAAAATCTTGTCTTCCCAGTCACCGTCTCTTCGGGGCGGTTTAGGTCCTGCCGGACCGTCCAAGGGCAAAAGTGTCATCGATGGATTCGGCTGTCCGAATGTATCGTTGCGACGTGGCTCCTCCCATCCCATTTAGCAGGACCATTACTCTAGCATCTGGCTTTTGGGAGAAACAGCTTAAATGTCAGAGTTCCAAATAATACACCCATAGCAAACAGAACTCCAAGGCAGGTAGGTTCCTCAAAAATAGTTTTATTGGATATATCATATTGGCATAGGCTGATGAAAACCGACTCTATATGTAACCCACAGTTTTCACTAATTAAAAGTTTTTCCTCTTTCCCCAATCAGTCACATGGTCCAATCAGGGTGCAATCCGGTTGCTTGGTAACATCACTCCTCCTTTCTTCAGCCACCTTTGGGAATGTCCTTGGTTCATAGGGGAAACTATTTTGTTTTGGCTACAAAACCCCAGCTATCACTATCCCCCCTTCCCTATCCCTCGTCTCTATTGTGGCAACACTGGGGCCTCAAAATGGCCTCTGTCAGGCCAGCTTCAGAGTTGACATTAACGATCCCAAAGCATACAATGAGAACTACATAAAGAGGAAGGTAGGAAGCCAAGATATCAGCCAGTCCCAAAGGTAAACATCTGATGAGCATATCTGAGAGCTAATGACAGATCTTCAAAGTGCTAACAAGCAAATGACTCCAAGGACTGCAAATCTTTCCATTCCCTACCATTCAGTCAACGGAAGATGCTTCTTGGATGAGAAGCAAAACATTTTCAAGAGGAAAAAAGTAAAATAAAGAAAAAGTTGCCTTTTGAAAAAGCATCTTTGGGACCTGATCTCCACCACAATCAAACTCCAGGCTGCGGGCAGAGTTAGCCTGCAACATTGCACTTTAACCACTGCCCCACCAGGGCCCTTATAACTACATTGTAAATACCAGGGGTGGGTTCCGGATTTTTTTTTAATTGCCGGTTCACTCAGGGATGTGCTTTGGGCATTTGCGTGCTTTGTGCACGAGCATGCGCATGCGCACTAGTGAAAAATTGCTTCTGCGCATGTGCAGATATAACTGGTTCAGAGGCGTGGGCAACCAAGTTACTACCTACTCAGCCGAACCAATCAAAACCCATAGGAATCCACCTCTGGTAAATATCTTATAATGTAATTACATTATAAACATATTTGTGTGCACAAATTCCAATTTATGTAAGATACTTTAATATGGTATTAACAGCAGTGGGTTTCACATTTTGTTACCACCGGTTCCCCCTGCGTGTGCCCGCTCACTTTGCACGGGCTCCCCTTCCGCGCATGCACCTGGTTTTCTGTGCNTGGTAAAAATCTCTGCGCGGGAGTTAGAAACTTCTGCGCGGGGATTTCTTGCGACGTGCGCGGCCGCGCAGGCGCGCACCTTAGAGGGAACAGTGTCATGCGGCCTTCCCAAACTCCGTTTTCACTGGAAAGGCACCACAGGCCGGACCTTCGCTGTTTCCAGGGCTGCCTGCAGGCCAGATCTATGTACGCCATGGGCCAGATCTGGGCCCCGGGCCTTGAGTCTGACACCCCTGTCTTAATCAATAAAGATAAAAAGTCAAAATAAGGTCCTTAAGACATAGAAAGCATGACGTATTGTCTGCTTGATAATTTTTTTGTTTAAAAACTGTTGGTTTTCTGCTGTGAACAGGCTACTTGCATGAGCTGGGGTGGCACAGTGGTTAGGGTGCAGTACTGCAGGCTAATTCTGCTGACTGCCGGCTGCGTGCAATTTGGCAGTTCGAATCTCATAATGCTAAAAGTTGACTCAGCCTTCCATCCTTCATCAGCATAGCAGAAGTTATTGCTGCAGCCATCTCTAATTATTAAACTAGAGTCATCTTCTTCCAATTCAGCTTTCCTTGTGATCAGGATTATATTTTGAACACTTTAGATACAGGTAGTCCTCAACCTATGAGCATTTGAAGTTACGAATGACCCGAAAAAGGGGACTTATGACCCAGATTCAAAGTTCCAATTGTTGTGCACCCTCCACAATAATGTGACCAAGCTTTAGATGCTTGGCAACACAATCTTGCAATGTAGTGCAGTGACATGACCATGTTTTGTGATACTTTTGGCAAAACCACACCCATAGTAAATCATAGATTTGCTTAACAACTCTGGCATTAGCTTAATGACTTCGGTGATTTGCTTAATGACCACTGTACTTTGCTTAATGACTACTGCAAAAAGGTCATAAAATTGTTTTATGACTGTTATGACATACAGGAGGCAGGCTCTGTTACTGTTGAATATCAAGGAGTATCTTGAAAGACTCTGTTCTCTTAAGTCTATAACAGTGGGAAAAGTCAAAGGAAAGAAAAAAAAAGTTGACCAACAATAAGGTATGTGGTCAATTGGAAGAACTGAAAGGCCAGGTTGGGGCCTAGTCCTCCAAGAGAAGGTGAAATTTATGTAATCACTAAGAATAAAATAGAATAGAATAACAAAGCTGGAAGGGACCTTGGAGGTCTTCTAGTCCAAACCCCTGCCTAGGCAGGAAATCCTANTGATGGCTGTTATAAGGCCATATAATATTCAGATCCTGTTCAGCAGGATCTTCTGTGCTATTATTCTAGCATCTGGCTTTTGGGAGAAACAGCTTACATGTCAGAGTTCCAAATAATACACCCACAGCAAACAGAACTCCAAGGCAGGTAGATTCCGCAAAAATAGTTTTATTGGATATATCATATTGGTATAGAATGACGAAAACCGACTCTATATGTAACCCACAGTTTTCACCTAATTAAAAGTTTTTCCCCTTTCCCAAATAATCAGTCACATGGTCCAATTGGGGTGCAATCCAGTTGCTTGGTAACATTACTCCTCCTTTCTTCAGCCACCTCTGGGAATGTCCTTGGTTCACAGGGGAAACTATTTTGTTTTGGCTACAAAACCCCAGCTATTTTTTTACTGCCAGTTCACTCAGGGATGTGCTTTGGGCAAACGTTTGCGTGCTTTGTGCACGTGCATGCACACTAGTGAAAAAAAATGCTTCTGCGCATGCACAGATATAACTGGTTCAGAGGCGTGGACAGCCAAGTTACTATCTATTCAACCGAACCAGTCAAAATCTGTAGGAACCCACCTCTGGTAAATACCTTATAATGTAATTACGTTATAAACATATTTGTGTGCACAAATTCCAATTTATGTAAGATATTTTAATATGGTATTAACAGCAGTGGGTTTCACGTTTTGTTATCACTGGTTCCCCCCGCGTGCGCCTGCTCACTTTGCACGGGCTCCCCTTCTGCTCATGTACCTGGTTTTCCGTGCATGTGCTTTGTTCATGCTTGCACCTTCTGTGCATGTGCCCAGCTTAAAAAATGTGTCTAAATAGGATGGCATAGAGCCGGGGCAGGTGGGCGGATGGACTTGCTCACCCACAATTTCTGCTACTGATTCGGGTGAACTGGTCCGAACCGACTGAATACCACCTCTGAGTATTAACTATTCAAACTTTGTTGTCAGAACTGTATGTAGTTAATTGTGAAGTGTATGATTTGTGTTTTTTTGTTTTACTTCCAGTTAAAAAACCGGAAACATGTCCATTTTTTCCTGCCCCTGTGAGCCAAGGTGTTGCCTGTCCAGATTTCTGGATTGGATATAGAA